CAGCAGGAAAGCACTTCTAGTTGCATTATTAGGAGTTTAAAAGCAGCGTGGGGCTGTTTGGAGAGGCAATAGTTCTTCCTTTAAAATACAAGGAAAAAAAAAAAGGAAAGGAAATTATGGAAATTATGTAATATAGAAGAAGTCCTTAAACTACAGGTGACACTGAGAGGGAGCGGAGAAGAAAAATCTGTATCAGTCTCGATGAGGTCAAGTATGTTTCTTCAACATTTGCCATAATTATCTGGGAAATACGTGGCAATAATGGTGTCATTAAACAGAGCTGTGGGAACCCAGAGAAAACACTTCTTTTCTTCCCTCTTCCCCCACAGACATTGTAAATGAGTTCACGCTGGATTTAATCTTCCAGGCCTGGTCTGCTGGTGTCACCACACAAATGCAAGCTTGATGGCAATGAATAATCTCCCCATATCTGGCATTGTGATTAAATGAAGCATGAGAGTAGGCTTCTGCTCTTGCATACAGCATAAGTAAATGAAGCCATTCGGCAGAGAACAGTTCTGCGCGTGTTCCTCATAAGGACTTTGATACCCTGAATTATCACAATGGCAGCTTTTAACAGGGTTAAAACCACTTTCAACAGGAAAACATATGTCTTGTGAAGAATAGTAACACTGTGTTTTGTTTGTCTCGTCCTTCAGGTGCAAGACGAAACCTAAGAAATGATTTGCTGGTGGCAGCAGATTCAATCACCAACACCATGTCTTCTTTGGTAAAAGAACTAAATTCTGGTGAGTGAGGCTAACCAGAGTGGATAATCATCGCATTGACATTTCACGTATATTTGAAAGAGTGGGAGGCAGCAAAATATAAGCCAACAAAAAAGCAGGGTGAGGTATCTTCAAAGTTTTTTATGCTTGTAGAAGAAAAACCCCTAAATATCAGCTTCAGGAATACAGTGAAAGCCATAGCCATAGAGGTGCAGCTGGATGCAGTGAAAACTTTGAGGTTTGTTTCTGATTCCACATGGAGTGCTATTTTGCTCTTCAGAAATTTCATTCCCTATAGAAAATGTATGATCTGTTGTTAAATGCAGTCTGTAGTATTTTCATACATATTCTCAACCTACCTAATAAGCAAAAGCATCACTGTTCTGTCCCACCACAAGAAGAAAACTATTAGCTCTGCAGATGTATGTAAAATAATATACTGTTATTCACTATGACGATGTGGCATTCTAAGTTGGAAAGGCAGAGAAAAGCTTAGAGAAATAGGCAAGTATACTTACTCTTGTGAAAGTTAAATTGAACCATGTGTCGCTTTTTGCTTCACAGAAGTGGGCAGTGAGACAGAAAGCAACGTGGATTCTGAATTTGGACGGACTCATTTTGATGACCTTGTTCCATCTCCAACATCTGAGAAGGCTTTTCTCGCACAGATCCATGCCCGCAAGCCAGGGTACATCCACAGCGCCGCTGCCACCGGCTCCATCCGCAGTGACATGTGGGTACCTGCTCGATTCACCTCTTTAATCTCATTCTTTTTCTACTGAAAGCAATATGCAATATGTAATATTTTCTTTCCCTCTCACCTATCTCATTGCCAAAAAAAAATGCCTAAAGCCGAGTGAGGACAGCTTGATGGTTAGACAGTAGTGATCTCTGTAAACAATAAAGGCCAGAAGTTTGGATGCCCTCAGGGGTGAGCTCTCACATCCAGTCTGGTACACTTGGGCAGAACGGCGGCTGTGGGATAGCCGTGCTCCCTGCTATGCCCTGTTGTCTTGTTCCCTGCTTATCCAGAATGAGGGATCTGTTGGAGCCCACTGGATAAAGAGGCATTTTTAAATGGAAAAGACAGAACATTTTTTTTGTTGACCAACTCAATTGATTAGCAAATGGGTTCTTTTTTAGAACCTGAATCTTCCTATCAAAGACAATAGGTATCTTTCCAGTTAGTTTTATAGAATTATAGAATGTTTTGGGGACCTTTAAAGGACATTTAGTCCAATCCCCATACCGTAAGCAGCGACATCTTTAACTAGATGAGGTTGCTTAGAGTTCTATACAACCTGATCTTGAATGTTTTCAGGGATGAGGCTTCTATCATCTCTCTGGGCAACCTGTTCCAGTGTTTCACCACCCCCATCGTAACAAATTTCTTCCTGTATCAAGTCTAAATCTACGCTCTTGGTTTAAAACCATTACCCCTTGTCCTGTCGCAACAGTCCCTGCAAAAAAGTTTGTCCCTGTCTTTCTTGTGGGCCTTCTTTAAGTATTAAAATGCCACAATAAGGCCTTCCCACAGCCTTCTCCAGGCTGAACAACCCCAACTATCTCAGCCTTTCCTCACAGGCAAGGTGTCCAGTCCTCTGATCATTTTTGTGGCCCTCCTCTGGACCTGCTCCAACAGGTTCATGTCAACTTCTTTGTATCAAGTCATTTAGAACGTTTGTTATGTGTTTCCGTAGGGCTATATCCCAAAAATGCCTTCAGCAAAATATGCCCTTTGGTATACTTCATCAATATCAGATCACTGGAGAGTGGCAATAGCAGAAATGTTTTCCTCTGCCAGGAAAATAATAACCAGTAGAGCATGTGGTTGAAGCAAAATTATTCTGCTGTCCTCATAGCTTACAATAAGGGGAAGTTTTATTGACTCTGAATGTCACTCATCTCAGGAGGCTATTTATTAATAATTTTCTTTAGGGTTACAGAAGATGGAGACCCCTATGTCAGAGCAGATGATGAAAATTATGAAAATGACTCTGTCCGCCAGCTGGAGAACGAACTGAAAATGGAAGAGTACCTGAAGCAGAAGCTGCAGGATGAGGCATACCAGGTGGGAGAAGAACACTAGGTGCCCATATATCTTCCATAAATGAGAATCAGTAATGTGCCATAGCCAGCCAGTGTCCTTTTTAGCCTGTCCTGGACCATGGAGCATGATCTCTTTCCAGTTACTAAAGCAGCCACATTCCAAAAACTGTTATTGCTCTCTTCTACAGACCTGCATGCATCCAGCCTTTGTGCATATCCAGGAAGACCACACTGCCCAAGGCGCACAACAGTAGTCCTTAAGCTCTACCAGGGCATCAGATGGGAGGGAATTGCCTCTGAGCTTGTTCTCTGCCAGTGCCTACCAAGTCATCTACACCTCATCAGAGAGGCCAGTTGCTGGTGTCAAGCTGACTTCCTCCTATATTTCAATGGGTTTTTTTCTCCGGTAGTGGAAGATGTTCATAATGTTTACTCCAATGTGAAGTGAAGTTCAGGTGCAGTCTGTGTGCTATTGTTAGAATCTGGAAGGGGAGGAAAGGGTCTGAAATTAACTGTATCCCAGAGGACCAAATGTTCAACAAGCTTCTAGTATAGAGAAGCCTGGAGATTTGTCATTAAACACCCCCTGAGGAAGTTTCCAAAGGGCATTTGTTTAAGATACTGGGTAAAGTAAATTTGCCAGAGGGAGATGAAATTTTGTAGATGTCCTGTCTTGTCTGTGTAATGGTCTCCACTTCTACCTGGTATAATGAGCTGTCGTCAGTTTCTAACTTATTCTTACTTGGATTAACCTAATGTAAAATTAACTATTTCTTAGAATGCTGGTAGTGATGTCAGTAGGAGGGCACACTCAGTTATTTGGGAGTAGAGCTGAAGCAAGCAAAAATAACTCTTTTCCCATGTGGTGATCAATTAAAATTTGGAACTCACCACTAGAAATTAGAGAGTAGAAGTGTAAGTAGGAGAAAAAAAAGGATTAAAGTACTGAGAGATCAGGTGCATGGAAGTGAGGTTCAAAAGCACCTTCTGGACAGGAATTCTTTAAACTGCTGATTGCTGGAAGCTCTCAAAATCTAGCCTTTTGTTCTGGTACATTTTCTCTAGTGTCCACCACTGCCAGTCACTTTGGAGACAAGAATCTGGGGCTGACAGGCTCTTGATTTAATGAAGAATGGCTGCTCATTTGGTCTTCTTTTTTGTAAAGCTGCTAGGATAAATTAGTCTTGTAAAAGTTCATTGACGCATATCAAAATTACAGATAACTTTGAGGTTGTTGTAAGCTTTTTTGTTGGTGGTGTTGGTTACCTAAGTCTGCTACATGCCCATGCTAGCCTAACAAAAGTCAATTAATTGCAAAGTTCTTAAGGACATAGCAGCAGGAGGAGAATTGTTATAGGCTATCTACTAAGGCAACAGTGGGTGACATGAGGGGGTTTCGTCACTATTTTTTATCCAAGATAGGAAATGGCAAAAATGACAGCCTTTAAACTTCTGAACAGATGATCAGCAACTGCTGATGTAATTGCAAGTCGTTGTCGGTTATAAAGAAGGAGTACCTCAGTGGTGACAGTTGTCAAGCATCATACAATAAATGTTGTTATTGCTGGTAAAAAATTTATTTTCTCCAGAAAGAAAAATAGGCCAATTTGATTGTACTTTGATTACACTATGGAAGTGCAATATAAGGCAACAGTGTTACATGAGGTTCACAAACTATAATGGGATTTTGTACCTGCACCAAATTGATAATGTATATGCACTGCAAAATAAGGGCATTCATTGTGCAGTAGAACTTACACATGTCAGTCAGTAGAACTGGGTGTTACTTTTGCTTCAGTCAAAACAGAGCTTTTTCCAGTGTCGCCCAACAACATTCCTGGAAGAAGGGGAGGATATCTTCTCCCTATCAGTGTCGGAATAAACTCCTTTTGGATTTAGGTTAGCCAAGACTACACCCAGGTGAACTTTTTTCCCCATTGTTTTACACAATTTATTTCCACTGGGGGAAGAAAAAAAAGAAAAAGGCTTTTTTCTTTCAAACAATGTATTCACTGAAGGAACAGTGAATCCTAGACAGGTTCTATGTAATAGCATTTTTCCAAAAAGAAATTTCATGATGTACTTTACTGTCTGTGAGATTGTCAGTTCGTATCAGGCAAAGATTTGACAGTAGTGACTTGTAAGTAGAAACTATTTTTAGCTGATAACGACAGACCCAGAGCATGCAACGTGTGAAAAGTCCTTCCCAGGATGGCTGATGCCCTTTCAATTAGGGAACAGGTTTAAAGGAAGCAAGGAAAAGTATTAAGTTAGGAGAGACTACTAGAATAATTAGGAGTTGGCTGGATAGTCCGATGTATTGATCCTGAGAAATGTGCTTTGGCTTGTTCTCTGCACTTCGCAGTTAATTTGTGGAATTTTGCTATTCTGTTCCTTTCTCTACTAGTATCACTGAGTAGTGTCTGAAGACACAACTTTCTACTTGCAAAACCAGAGGAAAATTGGCAAATTTCTGTCTAAGGAGCAGTGGCCAAGTCAACTATTCTCATTTTATATCAAACCACTGGATTTTATTACAGGCTGTTTTATTATTTGTATTCACACATACATTGCATTTATCTGGACAGCCAAAAAAAGCTGGTGGCTGTAGCTATCTTAATGCAATTGTCACCTGAAAAATTCTGCAAGGAGGAACTCCTACTAAAGTTACAGAATGGTAACCTCGGTAACAATATGGTAACTGTTTTTCTATTATTAAATGTCTCACTTCATGTAAGAGCAACACGTTTAGAAAAACATGTAGATAGAGTGTAGCGTGGAAGGTGATTGGTCAAAACCCACTCTTGTTATTTTGTGTCACCTTGTCTCCAACAAGATTTTCAAGCTAACTCTAAATTAGTATTAAAGTATGAACAGAAAACCCATGACACACAAGTAAATCTGGGACACGGAACCTCAAAGGAGGCTTTTTTCTCTCTCTCTTTTTTAAAGCATGTTGTAAATAACAAGTATCTGCACCAGAAAAAAACATATTTAGTGCACAAGTGTAAATGCTAACAGTGCTTATCCTCCCATGTGTGCTACCAGTTGTGTTCTTGTTACAGTCTTTTGCTGGATGTGTGGTATAAGACACTTTTCATTGGGTTTATTTTCTGAGTCCATAATTGTTCCCTTTATTTCTAGGCTTGTGCATGGCTTTCTTCAAAATAATACACTGCCTGGCTGCTCACTGGTTTATTTTGTCATCTTCTTGTTTTCTATCCTTTGTTATCTACAGGTCAGTTTGCAAAGTTGAGTGCAATACCCTTCTCTCTCTCCTCTCAAGTAAGTACCATTACAATTTAGAAGAACATTTGGAATTAATCCTCGTAATGTGTATTTCAGTTGCAGTGCACCCTGTGCTGCCTGAGTGTATGTGACAGTGCTGTTTGTTTCTTCTTTAACCCACATTAGGATGCCTCGGAGTATCTCTGAATCATTTCTGATTTTTGAAATGTGGTCCTAGTCCTGAGCATTCCTGTTAAGCCACCACACTTTTTATCTTCTTCCTTTGTTGATCTTAGGAGTGAGAATGTGGATTTTTCATCTCTGGGGATGAAGACAAGTGTATTAGCCAGTATAGAGAAACCTCATCCAGAAGATGAAGAATCAGAGAATGTTTCAGGAGACCAGAGTTCAGTCCCTTACAATGCTTTAGTCTTCCTAGGATAACCAAAATAAATAATTTCTAGTGAGAATGGAACATCTACTCTAGTGTGTGGAACAGGAATTAGGCAAACATTAGAGAAGGCATCTGATTAACCTCAGAGATGTCCTCAAGAGTGCTGTGGAAGTTTAAAATGCCCCAATCCAAAGTGCAAGGTACTCGGCTACTAGCTAGAGCCTGGCAATGCAGAGATAAGGTAAGAAGGTCTGTAAATTCCCTGCTGGACCATATTCAGGTCATGTTCCTTACACGTGCCAACCTCTCAGTTGCAGCACTGAGTTTAATGCCAAGTTCAGCAATTGTGTTTTTCTTCAGGAATGCAGACAGTGGCTATTTTTATGCAGTAGCCTGTTATTCTGAACATTTGCCCAGGAGCTGGGAGACCACACATTTCCTTCTTGCCTCATCTGAAGCTGCCGACTTGCTCGGAGAGTGCTGTGCCCTGCTATGAGGATGGCAGTGAGAAAGTGGTGTCCATCCTACTGTGGGGTAACAAGGCCAGAAAAGGAGGAGAAATGAAAACAGGTGACTGGCTTTGGGCTGCAAACTGAGTCTCTGCATCACAGCCAGAGCTAAAGGCAGCCAAAGGTCAGTCATCAAATGGGCACTTCAGGTTGGGAGCAGAGTCGTGTTCATAGAAGCAAAACCAGTGAACTAGCCTGTGCCAGCTTTAGCAGGAGTTCACGTTGCTAGATTTTGTATGCCATGTCTTATGCTAGATGTCCTTATTTATACGGTAATTTTGGTGGCAAAATTTTACCCCGATTCAAGGAGTTTGCAGTTTCTGATGACAGAAGAGTTTGGATGTCAAAGTGTGGACCTTGTGAAAGCAGCTGCCAGTCTTCAGTGTTAGGTATTTCTGAAGCATCTGTCTCGGTGTCTCTGGCAGCTAAAGCACAATAAATAGATGTGAAAAGCAAATAAATGGCAATACCAAGAGTACTATAAACACCAAATAACTGCTCATAAAAACTCTCTTACCATTGCCCCTTAGGTCACATTCATTTTCTCGGTAGGCTTGTTAAAAATGTGAGCTGTGTAGGGTTTCCTGAACATTGACAGCCAGAAATATAAGTTTTCTTCTTCTATTTTGTAGCAGTTGTCAGTTATAAATCAGATCACTGGAAAAGGAAAATAGATCTTTGAACAACAATATATGGTGTATAACCATGTGGATGGTGGAAATGATACATATAACTGTATTTAATTACAATTACAAATTATTATGATATTAAAGCGCAGTAGCGTTCAGACAAACCATCTGCAATATTAAGTGGAAAAAAAATCCTTTTCATTAGAATTACGAAGCTCAGGCAATCCCATTTAAGGTTTCCTTTTTTGTTCGAAAGCAGAGCTAGCAGTGAACTGGGGAAACGCAGACTGCCACACAGCCCTGCTTTCTTGAAAATATATATCCCATCTCAAATTAGCAGAGATCTGAGACTGAGCAGCTATCTCATCTCCCGGGTGCTTTTGAAACCTTTTGAAGCCCTGTGAAAAAAAGAATTTTTTGAAGCACTGCTCTGGTTAATTCTGTAGTGAAACTCTTTTTGGTTCACAGGGGAGCAATTCAGCCATTACCAAACATTCCGACCAGTTGCAAAAGCCTGACCCTATAGAAATTAGCAAGAAAAATCAGTGAACTTGGCACTTCACCTGTATCCATAAGAACAAACTCTGTGTTACGGTACAGTGTGATAAATACATCTGCACAAAATAAATGTGACTTAGTCTTCTCAAGATTCACTCTTTTGGGAATGTGGAAGATGAAAGTACCTTGTGCATTTTATTTGGTACTAATATTTTATAACCTTGGAAAATGAAATCCAAAGTTGTTCATACCAGTCACAATGTCTCGGGTGCTTTTTCTGTTATGTTGGATTCTTGTTGGAAGCTTAGCAATTGCATCGAGACTTGCTTGTAAGAAAATATTAATCAGTCGATGGTGATACAAATACAGTCAGTATTATATTGCCTCAATGGCCATGTGAGGTAAAAAGCCAACATACTTTCTTCTCTCACAACAGTATTACATTTGTGCTTATTTAAAAAAAGGTGGGGGAAAATAGAATCAGTTTAGCATAGCTTCTTAGAATTGATATTGCCACTGATGGCCACCCCCAGAGTTTTGTTCATTTCCTCATCCATCAGTCATGGACAAGTGGTGTTGATGTCATTTGATTAAGGCTTTTTGCTTTCTATTTGCATTTTTTAAATCGCTATGTAAAATTCTCTAGAACTGGTTTTGAAATAACATCTAGTATAACAAATTCCCAAGAGACCGAGTGGTTCCTGTAATATATAAAACATAATTTAATAATGTTTTCAGTTAACTTTCTATGTCAAATGTACTTTAATACCACTTGTTTTATTTTTAATAGAGTAACAGTGAATTTGAGCTTGTTTTCAGCAGGCTATAGGCAGACCTCAAAATTAGGTGAATTTGCAGCTTGAATGTTATTTTGCCTTTATTCCCCTGATAGCAGTTGTTTTTTTGCCAAGGATGGCCAGTGGGAGCAGAAAGCCTCCATCTCTGAAAGTGGTTAAAAAGTTGACATTTTCAGTGAAGAGATGTCAACCTGTGCAGTGGAGATGTTCCTACGAGACCTAGATTTTCTAAAGCAATGTTTTCTTTGTATTGACATAGCACCGTTTTAGTTGGTCGTCTTTAATTCTTTTATATGCGTTATTATGACAGAAAGAGTGGTGTGAAAAGCTAATAAAAATCAGTTCCAAAGCATCCACCAAGGGGGTCTACAGAAAAGGAGTCTTTATTAGAAGTTACATTCTCTATTTTTTATCCATGATCACATTTTCCGTAACATAAAAAAAAAATAATAATTTCAGTTAAAGCTCAGTTCCATTCCCATTCTAAACCCTTTCACTCACTCGAAATCTTATCACATAAGTTGCTGGGGGATGTGGGGCTTTGGGTGGCTCTGGGTGACATTTTTCCATTGCAGAAGTGACTGAATGGTTTGTATTGAAGCAGGTGGAAATTTTTGAAACACAAAACCCCAAAATTCCCTCAACTTTTTGATATGAATGCATTGTTAAAAAAGTATTATTTATTCAACTAGACTCTTTTGCCAGGACAGCATTCTTACTGAGTAACACTTCAATGTTTTTCTCATATTTCCCTTTTTCTCCAATCTCTGTTGTCATGTTTACCAGCACAGGTGAGGAATATTTTCGAATGTCAGGTGATAAAACCCTTGGGCCAAGGGAGATGGTGTGGTCAGTCCAGTCCACCCAGCGTGCCACTGAGAGGAGGTCTGCTGGTTAAGCCAAAGGGCACAGACGATTCAATTAAGTGCTGTGAAGACACAATCTGATTGCCCTGAATTTGTTGTGGTTTTTTTTTTCTCTAGGAAGGAAATAGGATTTCACAGCTAGTCCTGCTTTTCACTGGCCATTGACATTTTCAGCCCTTTGCAATGTGGCTCGGGTCACTTACTGTTTGGGAGCAATGGGACTCAGGATCCGTAGCCCAGGGTCCAGGTCAGGCTTCTGGCATGCATTTCATGGATGTGCAGGTTTCAGATTTGCTGTGGCCACTGCCTCAGGTCACATTTCCCTGCTGTGCCCTGGCCTCTCTTCAGCTGTAGAGCCCCCGCACACTGCTGGTCATAGCTGACCGGCTGCATTTAAAGCTCCCGCACTGCGCTTCATTTCTCGCATGGACTTCATGCCAGGAGCTCAGGAGGTCACAGAGGTGGAGGTGTGTTGGTAGACTGGACCCTCGGGAGGTCATTTGGTGCAGTCTCCCACCTGACACAGGTCTAGCTCCACCACAAGACCATGTCAACCATGGCTTTCTCTAGGAAAGGCTTTAAAACCTCCACACACAGAAATTTCACCACCACTCTGGCCACCCCCTAGTACCTGGTTTTTATTTTTTTTCTAATGTCCTACCTGAACCTTCCAAAATGAGATTAGTCCTTTTTGCATGCTTCAGCACAGCCAAGAGGATTTTGGCTTTGTTGTCCGTGTTATAGGCTGGACTTGATGATCTCAGAGGTCTTTTCCAACCTCAACAATTCTGTGATTCTGTAATGAGCCCTCCAACAGCTGCTAACCACTCCTCCCTTACCACCTCTGTCCCTGCCTCAGCAAGCCCAGCTTTTTCAGCCTTGTCCTCTTCAGTCAGTGATGCCATGGTGAAGTGGGATACAGGCACTGGATGAGCTGTTGACATCCGTAAGTCGTGCCCTATTAGCACATCCAGCGTCTCTTTTTATGTTTGTTTTTTTACTGAACAAGTACTTAAAAACCAGCATCATGTGGACCATTCCATTTGAAAATAACAGCAGGCCGACAACACAGTAATTATTAAAATGTCTGCTACATTCACTCAGCTATATTTGCTATATTTTGGTTTTCCCCTTTATTTTTGTCCTTAAGTCCTCCTCTTCTTAGCACCTAGGCATAAAAAAGCTGTAAAAGATCTGTGGCTGAGTTAACTGGGAAGAAGCAGCTTTAGTTGTGTGAATTTTATTCTAAAATTACACAGTTGATACGGATGGTTTTTGAAAACTGCTGAATGATAAGTAACAGAAAAGAACCTGTGGATTAAGTTAACAAAAAAAGGTCAAGAAACAGTTTTATAATGTGACAAAATGTATGAGTCTTAACTTGGAATTAATTCTGGCATTTCCAGAATGCTGCAATGAACGTAGAGCTCTGAGGTTCATTAGTACTTGTTATTTCTTGTATGAAAATCTCTCTATTCCATTGCTGGCTGCGGAACTGAGAGAAGCCTTGAGAGAATTTAGAACGACCCTCTCTACCCTCCACCAGAACAAAATGATTTATCCAGAAAATTTGAAGTAAACCCAAAGGCTTAGGATTACTACCAATGCATCTTAATGCATACAGTCTTTCTCAAGCCACTCTTATTTTGCTCTCAAGTTTTATAATACCATCAAGAAATATGAGATGTACCTAGATTTATATAAGCCTGAAACTGATTCAATAGAAGTCAGTCCCAGGCAGTTGAGATCTGACCTCTTCCGTGCCTTTCATTTGCATTTTTTGGCTGAATTGTGAAGAGCAAGGTGATCCTTTATTAAGATTTCCAAATTAGTTTGCAAACTTAAGCAGTGCAGATGCATGTCTGATTTTTTAAAAATACTTGTTTGAAATGTACCTCAGAAATTTTTTATGAACCTCTCATTAGCCTTGCAGTTTCCTTTCCATTTATCAACAAAATGTTAATGTCAGATGTTTTGTGACTGCTTGACACAAGGAGATACTAAATTAAGATCATCACACCATTTGGGGTGCTTATATATTAAGGAATTGGATGGAAGCATTTGTGCTTGAATAATTAATACAGTCAAATGGTGTCAGGAAGGAGAAGAAGCAAGCTAAGCTAGCTGACCTTTCTTCATTCATCAGTTTTAATTTAACTGTTTTTTGCTGAAGTAATTTGTATTTCATCTCTTACCTTGTAGACAAGCTTTATGCCTGAAATGAGTAGAGAAGAATTCATGTCAGTAGGGTTTTGTCTTTTATGCTGTTATTATCAGATCTCATGCAGTGCGAATTGGTTTTCTATCTGAAGTATTTCAAGAGAAAAAGGATGAGCTCCTTAACTCTGAAAGGTCAAGTGTGTAAACAGTGCCTTTATGATAAATGTGCCAAAAGCAGAAGTTTGCAGTATTACCTGACTGTAGAGCCCAGCATAGTTCTGAGAACGAGTAGCAGTTGTCTCTCAGGCGATTTTCCATGACCAGCTAAAATTTTGATTCCTCCGGTACAGGAATTTAGGATACTTTTTGATGCTTCAGGATACAGAAGAGCACCAAGGAGAAATTGGTGCACTGGCAGATCAGGCTATTTACGAGCGCCCAGAATCACCCTTTGAAGCGACTGCATTTTGGTCTAGACATAGGGAAATACACCTTACCGTGTAAATTAAGGGTGAGACCTCTGCATGTGAGGGGGGAAACTCCTGATGGTGAATGACTCTGGACTAGGTGGCTGAGCACTGTGCACAAGGGGAACAATCCATAGTTTCACTACCAATAGAGCAGCCTGGAAGGGTAAAATGGAAGGGAAAAAGGGGAACATCTGCAAATCTGTGCCAGGTGCAGACCCAGTTAGCCCATCACCTGTGGTAAGAAGAGTTTCCAACTTCCTAAGTGCCCTGTGAGTTTCCATTTACAGCTCAAATACCCACGGCTGTTTCACTTCTTAACTTTTTCAGGGATTAACCACCAGAATTGGCCAGCTTCTCCTTTTTTCTCTTAATAAAGCAGCCAGGAGAGGCTTTACTTGCACTGCCTGTGTGGGGGCAGCATCTTAAACCAGCACGCCTTTTAAAAACCTTCCCTAAACATTTCTCAACAGGCAAGCTGCAGTCAGACAGACAACGAAAGCTACGTAAGAACTGACGATGAGGAGAGCTGCTTTCGGACAGACGATGAAGAAAACTCGGCTGCAGATTTCACAGAAGAGTGGAACCAAGAGGTGCAGCGTCTCTTGACAAAAAAATCACATAACTAAGTTCTGAGGACTGTAGCACAGTACTTTTGTTCCAAGAGTTGTAGTTTGTAGATGTGTGTTTTTGACAAAAAGACTTCTGTTTAAAGCTAACTTATATTAGCTACATCTTCTGTAACATGGCTCATTACCGGTGAAGAAAACTGACTGACATATGTACTGCTGTTACAAAGGATGGCGGTATTAATAACTCACGTAAAACCCTTTGCACATGATATTGAACCTGTTCAGTTTACAATGACGATACTGTTTATAGATAGAAATTTGATTTCTGAATACTTTGAAATTTTAGTAGATTGGTTTACTATACACTGTACATTTTTTTTCCACAGAAGAAACAAAAAGCTGCATTTATGCATTTAACACTAAATGATTATACTCCTGAGTGTATATATCTAGTAGCCCAAAAAACAAAGTACCAGACTATATTTGCAATTTGTTTGCAAGTCTTTAAATTGACTTATACAAAATGTACTAAAATAATAATATAATTAATAATATTAATAAAAACCTCTCTAATTTAGGGCTAATGTGTAACTTAGGATGTTTCTTTCAAAATAATCTAAAAAATCAGCCATAGAAGTTAGTGTAAATATTTTTTTTCCAAATAGATATCATATACAAAAGGTGACATTCAAATGATATAGAATCTAGTTTTTAAATCAGCACAGATCTTCTTAAAACTGTGAACTATGTTTTGAAATACTCGTTGCTAAAGCTGTTTATAAACCACAGGTGCCATAAGATCCCTGAACTGACTGATGTTATGTATATCCCCCATGGTATCGTTTCATTGATGTTTTAGCTTTAGTAAGCATGTGTTCAACAAACCGGCTCTTTCCATCTCTCTGCCCCTCCTCCTCTCCCCTCCCCGCTCTATTATATTCTTTTCGAGGCCTTCAGCTTTAAATGTACAGGCTTAAAGTGCGCTTGCAACTGTTTTCTTTTTATTTCCGAATGTGTATTGCCTTAGCCAGCCACCAGATGTTCTGCATGCACTCTTGGAAATGTGTAGTGAGACTTTGGGCGCTGGATGGAGAAATAGCGATCGGTGAAAAGCACAAGAGAAGCGGTGAGTTTTTTTAGAAAGGATGGGCATACAGTTACAGAATTGGAGTTTTGTCTGGTTTGGTCGTTTTCAAGTATAAAGGTGTTTCAGGAGAGAGGGGACTTACCTGGCCAATTCTGGATTAGGCAGAAGAAGTGCTTGCTCTGCTGTGACCGCACCTACAGGTACTCCTGAGCAGGGATTGACACAAGCCAGCTGTAGTGTCCTCCCCACAGCGCATTGCTTGGAAATGAAGGTGACACCTGTAAGGTACGTGGCACTGCCGTGTAGAGGGATCAGATCCAGGCCAGGGACAGCTCGAGAAGAAGCCAGGTGGGAACCCCATGCAGTGTTTCATGCTGGTCACGCAGCCCTGCAGGGGCTCGGGATGACTCCTGCGCTAATGGAACTTTACTGCCCTAATACAATATTATGGCTTCCAGTATCTGGCTGACCTGAAGTGACACTCTCTAACAGCCCTGAAAACAGTAGTATTTCATACAGATATTTCACACCAGCACAGTTTGCCTACAGCAAGTGATGAGATATGCGTCTAAAGCAGGTTAACGTGGTTTGTCTGTCCTCGCTTTCATGGTGACGTGGATGTGCGCTGCCATATTTCTGTGAGATTGCTGTGTAGCTCGACCCAGTAAGTCCACTTGTTTGCATGCACTCTCTAGGCTCATGGCTGTTTCCCTGGGCACTATGTGTTAGGGAAGGAGTATCTGTATGAAAGAGCTGCTACCATTTTTCGCTATCGTATCGTACTACTGCATATGCAGATCTCTTGGCCACATCTCCTTGCTTATCTGGGCTTGATCTTAGACATCCAAATGCATCCTAAGGCATCCAGATTTCTTCATGTAAGCTTTTCATTTTTGCAATCCCTGATCTTTGCTCCTGGGGTATGTGCCATCCTGGCAAGGCAGGCACCATATACTCCGATGCCCCCTCCTCCAACCTCCTCTCAGGAATGGGTGAGCCTCCACTAGTGCCTAGCACTCCACATTCAAAGCTACTCCGGTGAAGCTGTAGATGTTGCCGTCAGCTCAGGATTCCAGGCAAGCATTTCCTGAACAGAGATGAAACAAGCTAGAACGTGGCTACATGCAATGGCTGACTAATTCAACCCATGTCGTGTTTAACTGTACCCAGAGTAGTAGCTCCCTCCCATCGTCTTTGTGTCTGTGTGCTCATTATTGCTATGCTTTAAATAGGTGCAATAGAATAAATCCATTGCAAGGGCTTCTGGGCTAGGAGTAAGGTAAAAAGATGATGGATCAAGCGCCTTTCTCTAGGACTGGTGTCAACAAGTTGATCCCCAGCACAGCTCTGGGTCCCTTATGCCCCGGAGCTCTGAGATAAAGCACCTCTTAATTGGCTCTCCAAATATCTGTTTTAAGCATTTTCCAGCTGTTAAGCTGGCTGTGTTTTTGCCCAGCTGGTCTTTGTCTGCTTGTTGAATATTATTTTTGTTGTGGTTTGCGGTCATTGAAACAGAGTTAGAGATGAAGTCCCAGGCCTGGGCCTTCTCTTGACTACCAATGGCCCACCACAGCAGTCAAAACTCCGGGTGGTTTTACTGTCACTGGAGGGAAACCAGTGGTTTGGAATCAGGAGACAGGGATGTGAAGATGTATAGGGTCCTTGAATGTCCAAAGCGAAGGTGGAGAATGGGTTGTCTGTAAGTAGTAATGTTAACTAAACTGCATAAAAAGGTGTGTGGCCTTTGTTGTGATATAATATGTATTTTCTTATATGCATGAGCCAAATTGTTGCATCATAATTTATCATAAGTGTGTCTGCCTTTACTTTCAGTCATCTTCTCCCATCCTTATTGGTTCTTGGCAATTACTGTAGATAGACCTTGTAAATATTGCAACTTCACGTTGCTGAAATCACATTGGTTCAATTCAGCAGACGGAGCTGTGAACAACAAGCACTCCACCGTGTCCTGAAGACAAAAGGGCATTTTTACCTTTGAACCAAAAAAAAAAAAATTATGAAGAGTTACATCTTGAGGCTACTAACTGTAAGACATTTTTAAAACTACTGTACTTGACACCACTTACTTGAGACACATACAGAGACACTAAAGATGTCACAATATTCATTGGTATTGTAACAGAACTGCTATTGTATGGTTTTTTTGTATTGCTGTTAAGTATTGTTTTGTGTGTGTGTGTTGGAACCTACTGGGGACATGTTATATTTTGAAGTGATTAAACTATTTAATTGTGTGTCTATATTTTGGAATGGAATTATTTCTTCATTAAAAAAATTTTTAAAAGT